TAGACTATGAAGGCATTTATTGGACCATGTTTATTTTATAATACACTTACTCGATTCGCAAGTATTTAGTGTTGGCATCATATGTTTATGTAGGTATTTATTTATTAGACCAGGCTTATTTTATATTACACTTACTCGATTCGCAAGTATTTAGTGTTAGCATGTGATTGTCTATTAAATTTATTGAGAGGCGTCTTGTACCATGTTGCACCACCAAGTGCCTCGCGCGCTTTCAACAGTTGTGCAGCCAGAAGTGCGCAATACAATCTTTCGGGTCCAAAAACGTTTTGTAGCAGCCATTCCACGCACATATATGGGTGAGTGTGTGTCGCTGCTGTCGCTCTTCCTGCGCAAACTGTTCATCACAGCCACTATAAGTACACAGGTACATCTTCTTACTTACCTTTGAGAGTGTGCTTGGCTGTCTACTACCCAGAGTTCTCGAGTGGGGCCTCCCAATGGGCGCGTCACTCGAGTTCTCGCTGCCTGACCCGCTGCCCGCCGTGTCTGTGCGTGTAGCAGCTGCATGCGTTGATTCGTAGGTGGCTGGTGGTTGCCACTCTTTCCAAGCGGATGAGCATCTCCTGAGGCTGGTGGGGTTTGACTTCTTCGAACCAGTGACTGATTGCGACTTCTTTAGTGGTAGTCGGTGATCCGTTCCTTTGAGTGTCGGATTGAACTGGCAGTGGTCGGCCTGGTGTGTGCCACACGCAGTCACGTCCATAAAGGTCTCCCCACACCCGGCGTATTTGCACTCAAAGGGCTTCTCGCCCGTGTGCGATCTGTAATGCACGTTCAGCGCGTAGTCTGAGGCAAACCGAGACCCACACCCGACCCAACTACAACAGTACTTGTGGCGTCGTTCGCAGTGTCTTGCATGGCTGTTTCTGGCTCTAAGCGTGGTTGATCGTTTGGTGCAGTTGTACAGCCCACACGCGTATGGTAGACCAACAGACGGCTTGTAGCCGTGTGCGGTCTGCTCGTGCTGCCTACGTGCCTGGCTGCCAACCATCGTCACTTCACAGCCATGGTATACACAGGCCGTGCCTTCCGGCTCAACAGCTAAGGCGCCGCTGGCCTTAGCAGTGGGTAACACCCCACTGCCTATAGTAGTAGCTAACTCACTGCCACTAACAGCCACCGTTGCACTGCTTTTCTGCTCTGCCTTGGCGTCGTCACTGTGTGGCGTGCGCGGTCTCGCGGGAGACGAAGGCTCTGCATCGCGCTCATACTTAGCGGTGTGTACTTTCATTCTTAAAGGCTCTTCAGCGGCGTGTACTTTCATGCTTAAAGGCTCTTCAGCGGTGTGTACTTTCATGCTTAAAGGCTCTTCAGCGGTGTGTACTTTCATGCTTAAAGGCTCCTCAGCGGTGTGTGCTCCCACACTTTGCGGCTCAACACCACTGTTGACGCCAAGGGGTTCGCTTGACTCTTGGGCTGGGGAAATGGTCTCATCGGTTGCATTGGGTTCATCTATTGAGACGGTCAGATCTATACACACACGGTGCGGTGGGATGGATCCGTTATCTACCGTCAGCGTGCTTTGTAGGTTGTGATCTTGTGCGTCCACGTTTAGACGTCTTTTATTCAAGTCCAACACCTTCAAAATGGATTCCACATCCATGCGTCGGCTATTCTGTTGGTTGGGCCGTTCCGGCTGATGCCCTCTAATCCTAATTACTCCATTGGATTGTGTGCTATCAATAACATTCACTCCATTGGATTGTGTGCTATCAATAACATTCACCCCAATGGATTGTGCACTATCAGTCACATTCACTCCATTGGATTGTGTACTATCACCCACATTCATTCCATTGGATTGTGTACTATCAGTCACATTCACTCCATTGGATTGTGTACTATTAATCCTACTAACCCCACTGGGCTGTGTAGTACCTCGCCTGTGCATGTCACTCACTCCTGTGGATGGTGCTTGCCATTGGCCTGTTATCTTACTGAATCCGTCTGTCTCTCCAGACCCTTGAGTCTTATTCACAGCTCTGTTTGCTGTTGCTGCGTTGATAGCCTGGTTGATAGCCTCCATCTCTACGTTGGTAGCCTGCATCCCTTGGCTGAGGCGTACGAATACAGTTGAGTAGTCCGACTGTCGCATGTATTCCGCACTTACCCTCATAGCAGGATTATGGCTACTCGCGGTATTGTTATATAAAAATGTTTGCGCACCAGATGCCCCGGCTGATCCGGTTACACCTATACACTGATTGCCATCATACACATGTATACGACCAGTGCTATCTCGGAAGCCGCGTATATGCGGGTTGTCCCGATTCGCTACGGACGGGAATGCCTGACCAATCCGTGATGTGTTTGTCACTGGCTGCATTGTCGCGGTAGTCGAGCTATAGCTATTGTGCGCGAATGCGTTCGTGTGATGGTCCCCATTGGGGGTATACATTGGTTGGCTCGTATTGGCACCCACACCGTTGTATATCGTCCCTTGGCGGAGTCCACGCGGGCGCTCAGCTCCACCCGTGAAAGCACTGCCAGCCCCAGCCCCCGCGGCTGCAGTAAACTGAAACTGCCGCGCGTCTCGGCCCTGGTGCAATGACGATGTGTTTCCCCTAGCACCACCAAATGCGTGTGCATGCACTTGCCTGTTAAGCACGTGGGTGGGTGTTCCTAGACTGCCTATCCACGGGTTCGCATTGGTCTGGGCTGGTGCGGTACCGGCCGTTGTGTGGAGCCCTACAGACCCATTCGCATTCGGGTACACTCCGCTCAGTCGAGTAGACACGGGTGTGTGCAGCGGTCCCGGAGGTACATTGGAGTGCGTGTGCAAGTCATGTACTGGGCCGTTAGCGTCTATATTTCCCTGTACATGAATTCGATTGTCCGTCTCGGCCGTGCTGCTTGCTTGCCCAATGGCCTTTGGGGTTATAGCAGACTGCGCTGTTGGTGTAACGGGCGTGGTTGTATCTCGGGCGGCATCAATGGGGAGTCCAGGACTCATCCCCACAGCATCGCCAGCATCTTCCACCACACAGTGCTTGCCTTCCCCAAAGCACACCTGGTGTGGGTCGAGGGCCGCCTGAAGCGCTCTCGACGATAGGCACTCCGGTCCGTCGTGTGTGTTCTGGACACAAACGGTCCCATCCAGATTCGTATGGGTCAGCTCACTGCCGGTACAATTTCTGTGGCCCTGTCCGTTCGAGAGGGACAGGTGCTTGGGCTTGTGGGCTGTGAAGGGACCGTCCTGTGTGTCCACAGGATGGAACACATTCGTCTCATTCAGCAGTTGTGTGGCTAGATCGGAACAGGTGCTCGACAGAGTGGCTTCCTTCACAAGCGCCGTCTCTTCCACCACATGTGTTACGGTCTGTGTTGTGAGGTGAGTGTTAGAGCTATCCGTCGCATTTGTATCTGTCACTCCACTGGCGCTCGGATACGGCATAGCGCTACGGAAGGTGTCATAAACATGCGTGTCAACATAGCTGCCATCCGTGACTATCTGCCTATTGCTATCGTTGTGAATGAGATCATTCGAAGTGCATGAGTTCCCATCCTTGGTGTGTGGTGCTGCAACACGGCTATACGTACCAGGCGGTGGACCCCGGTGGGTATAACGGTGGGTATAAGCCAGCACATACGAAAGAACGGTGTCCAGCCACAGAGTGCTAGCTATAGGTGTAGGCTGCTGGCGACCTATCACATTCGTAAGACCACTGCCGTTTGATTTGTTCTGTCCTTGTGCATTCTCCGGTACTATCGGCTGAGGCGCAGGTACTGTATCCGGCCCATATGATGTGTTATATTCACTGAGAGAGGCGGACGACTTCCTCGCCCTCTTCACCTCGTTTGGCATAAAGTAATTAAACTTTAAGTCCTTGCTATTCCTTCGAGGCGTACCCATAGGCTGTTCGCTACCTTTCACATGCGCACTACCATCACCTGCCCATTTGTCCTGCCCTTGCACAACCTCTGGTACTACTGCCTTAGGCGCAGATACTGTATCAGGTCCACACGACGTGCTACACTCACTGAGAGAGGCGGACGACTCCCTTGCCCTCTTCACCTCGTTTGGCATGTAGTAATTGAACTGGAGGCCCCTACTATCTCGCTGGAGCGGTGACCCATCCCCATGCACCACACAATCCTCATCCGCAGACGCATTGGAAGGACTCGATCGCACTCGTTTGCGAGCAGTACTTGCACCCATCTCGACATCTACAGCAGGCGAATATGCTAGGTCATTCTCCGTCATGGGCTCGATCGCTGCACCTCTGCCTCGGATTATTGGACTGGTACTGTCGGACTGGGCAGGTGCACTGTCCACTGGAACATCGGAGGCAGATGCATCCTGGGTGGGGGTGGCGTGTGTTTGCGGCGCACTGTCGTTACCTTCGTCTGTGGCTAGAAGGGAATATGATAAGAATGGGCACTATGACTGTGAGTGAAATGAACAGCTAAGTTCCCCCATAATAAACAATGTCTTCATCATAGTCACTTGACGACAACGGACCAGTGGACATTCTGTTTCAATTACGTACAGTAAAACTCAGAGAGATAGGCGGTGCAACAAGAGAATGGGGGTTTAAAGTTTGGGGTTTCTAAAAACATGTGCGAGCACGGGGCAAACACTTTCAACCATCGATAACCAATATACACTCCCTTACGCGCCCGTTTACGCGTCACAGCTGAAGCACGTAATGGGCCCAAAAGCAACGCCTGTCGATACCAACGCGAGACAAACACAACAGCACAGAACTCCACTCAAAGTAAGTCATTGCATACCAGCTGGCCCTAACGCCTCCACAGAGTCATACTCATCCTCGTCTTCATCTTCTTGCGAGCAATCCAGGTCGTGTCCAGCGTACCAATCATCACGCTGCGCTCATAAGCCAATTACAATGAAATACACCAGTTAAAATAAGCCAATTAAAATAAGCCAATTACACATGGGAGGTTGTTGAGTATGCAGACTATTTGAAGCGCAAGCAAACGGAGAGGGGGGGGGGGCGGAAACAACCCCAGGGCCAGAACGGTATAATGAAACGTAGACGTTAACTCATTCCAAGCTTGTGCGGTTTAACAAGTGTGTCGCCATGCAAAACTCTATTAGCACTATACTCAGCTATCATAACTCAGGTACACGAGCTATCAAGCTTAGTGCATTCGTATCTCTTTATCATATGCAGCGAACCACAGCGAACAGTCCTGCCTTAAACTGTAACCAGATATACACAATGAGTCCTTTCCTGTCCAGCAATGCACACTCCGGAAGACATCATACCTGGCATTTAGTCGAACAGTAACTGCGCTGCAGACACGGACAGGCACTCGCCGCTGGCTGCTGACACACATAGCACACAGCAAGACTCTGACTCATTCTGGTGCACGTGGGTGGCGTCCCGGCCTTCGATTGGTTGAGGGCAACACTGCCGAATCGATTGGTAGCCTAGAGTGCGACTACTGGAGCAGGCAGCGGATTACTAATTAGTACACCATTTATTTGGCCGTCGTGTTCATCAAATTTATCAATTAACAATGTGGACGAACTACATCTTCCTCTCTCAGCAACTGGCTCCGTACCAGTGCTTGCCTCAGCTAACGAAGCGAAAGGGACAGCTGTGCCGGATCACAGAGGTCAGCGCGAACGAAAGTTGTTTTTAATTGAACTCAGATGACAACCGATGATCAAACACAAGTCATTTATTGATCAGTCATATGGGTAAGCCGTATAGCATCGTTCAATTTTGAATTTTTCAACACGTGCCTAACGCTTCTGTACGATGTCACTGCTAGGTAGAAACGCTAGTGTATAACAAAGCTTCTGTATAATTCATCATACAAGAACGTTAACATACAGAAGCGTATATATATATATATAACGATGCTGTACGATAATGTATTTATACACTAGCGCTTCTGTATATTGACGCTTCTGAATAGTAAGGCTTGTGTCATACGGCACACCTAAAGCGCGCACTGACTAAGCAGTAGGAACGAGACACAAATATACAAATAAGCCATGCGCAAGAACGCAAGAAAGTACCGTAAATGATAGGTGCGTATTAAGCCTGTCAGCTGTTATTTAGAAAGTAGCATGATCTTGGGCCAATTGCACAAGTGTACAGTTTGATGAATACCTCACACATCGGTGAGACTTCCAGCAAGCAACAGGTGTATATATCAGTGACAGAGCGGTATACATCTCTCAAGGAAAGCAATGCTAAAAAAAAATACTCAGCTAACATCTGTAACGAGCTCAGTTTGGAAGAGCCACCTAAATCGCAGCGATATGAGCAAGCACGTATAAGGCATTGTATGGTACACGCTGCTTACGAATACACGGAAACAATCACTACCCCGCTCATAATCACGCGCACATCCTCTTTCAAATGTTAATCGTCTACCCTTTCGAATGTTAGTCGTCTGTCAATGTCAATCATCTACCTTTTCTGGTCAAATATATATAAGAAATGCAGACGTCCACACTCAAACGTGGCACGACACCAGTAGGCTCACAGCCTTTACCGATTGGACAAGCCTATACCTGAATGTTCACACAGGTGCGCACAACTTACTTCAAGCGACGGCGCCTATCGGATTCTCTGTGGCCAGTCCGAGAGATGCCTATTTATATGTTATAGTGCTTGTCGACTTCTTGCCGATAGGATTTATTAGCTATGCCACTATCGAATGTTCCGCTGTTATGATTACGGTAACATATAGCAACAGCAGTAGGGTTTAGGGTTCGGTGTAGTAGAGCCTACTCTCTCTCTCTAGTATTTAGAGTAAATAGAGAGAGACTATCGAGTATCGACTGTCTATTTATTTGTCGTTTCTTACATTCCGTCTTTCGTGGGGTGGGAAGGGTTTGGTTTTTTTTACAACAAAAAGAAAAAAAGAAACAAAAAAAACGGGCAGCAAACCCCATTGACATTCTCAGATACATCCTGCCACTCCGTATTCGCGTGTGTGCTTTTGTAGAGAAAATGTTGCCGGACTGGTGATATATATCACACTGTGGTGGAGCTTTTCACTTTATGTTGGAGTGCTGATCACAATAGTCAAGTATATAGAACGCTGCGCAATGCAGTGAGCTCAAGGATGGGGGATGACACTCTAAGCGCGGGGATGGAGAGCATCTAGTTCTGTTCTGAAGTACTTTTGGATTTTGGGTGTGTATATAGTTGCCATATAGATTGGGCTCTCTCACTATACAGATTGGTATATTGCTAAGAGGGTGTAGAGATGCAAGAACGCGTTAAACGGCTACATACGGCAAGACTAACAGCGAAGTGATTTGACAAAGATATAGTATTCATGGTTCAATTTAATCATGCAGCAAACGTTGCATATAAACGAACCGGTTGCGTTGTCATCCCAGTATTAATAAACACTTGCAATTTTGAAGTTCTAATATTAGCTGCTTTGAGACGGATTTAGTGCATACGTACGAACTAGCGAAGCGTACACCTTCGCCACCATCCCTTTACAGAAGTAGTCATCCTCCCGTTTGAGATCTGAAGGATTAAAGATAGCGTCTCTTAGTTTTGTAAACACCTATATCATCACAGTTATTATTGACAACACCTTATTAGGTAGCGTGTTCGTGAAGATAATCTAGTGTATGTTAGACGTATTGGGATTTATGAGTACTGCCTTTTGCAAGGCCTGCAGTAGTTGGCCTTTGTAGTAAGAACAGAGCATAATGTAGGCGACGATGATGACAGGAGGGTCCCTAATGTAATAGCCGGGCCTCCACATTAGACTCTATGTTATAAAGGTACTCTTAATAGTACGAGGAACTTAAGTTTCCTAAATGGTTTTAACGGTTTTATTAATTAATACCTTTTCCATTTTACATATCAGATATTTGGACAAGGCCATTAAAAGGCCCCAGTAAAATACCAAACATAAGATTTGGTCTAGTTCTATTTTAATAGAACTATATTTACTTTCCTAATCTATTTATATCTGAATACTTCGGTAGCGAGATGGCTCAACCGAACATAGGTTTCTAAGGACTATTAGTGTTGCTTAGTTTCTCCTCCGTTCAGCCAACCAGATGTACCAGTCTGATGAAGGCTAAGTCGGTAATTCTTGATAAGTGGCAAGTTATTGGTTAATGCAATAACCATGGACATCAGGAGTATATTTTTCTTTTCTTTTTAAAAGATAGGATTTTATGAGTCTCTTGGATTCGTCCCAACGCAATATACCATGGTTTCTATTAGAGCGACAACGAAACACTAAATAAAATCCCTTCGGCGAAAACAGTACTGAGAGGATTATATATAGTAATGTCTCAGCCTCGCAATCCCTCAGAGTATTGCTGTTTTCACGAGGCAGACCTAACTTTACTGAAAGACTAATTACGTTTATTTTACTTTAATTTCATTTGAGCTTTAGAAGACTTTATTACGTTTAACTACTCTAAGACGTTAATACCGCCTTAAGAGACCGAATCTTACACTAACAACTATTCGGGTTTTGTACCAAACACTCGCGCACATGTCTCGGCGGACTGTTACGCGTGCAAGTATTGTGCAAGTTTTGGTGGGGTTCCCCCATGACGCAGATATAGAACTCGTGAAGCAATTGCGTTATACTGGATGTAAACTATGAGTCCAATGAAATGATATCTAGTCTTATTAACTAAAACATAAATAAATCTAGACCGAAGTAGTGAGGGATTAGAGCGGAGCATAAAGACAATAGTCTCAGTCTAAAATCCCCTAATCTTTTGCTCATTACCAAGGGCTGAAGCTAAACTTAATTAAGATTTTATATTTTAACGTATTAACGTATTGTCTTATTAACGTAAACGTCTTTGTATCGTATAGTCAGCCTAGAGGAGACCAACTTTTACATCCGGGGGTTAAATTCACCTCGATTTTTCAATATGCATTCAAATTTCCATTTCCTCAATTCTTGTTCCAACATCATATGAAATGCAATGAACAGCACAGGTAGGTCTAGGTAATCAGGGGTTGCAGGCTGTAAAGTCTATGCTTCTAGATACTAGCAACACAGCTCCGACCTTAAAGAAAACAAAATGTTCTCCCAGATATATGTCTAGGCCTCGTACAGAAGGAAGTATTGCGCTGGCGTATAATTTGAGAGTGCGCTTTTTCTGGTTTTGAGACCGCCGAACTCCGCCTTCCTAGAATCTCATCTCATGAGGTACCTTGTATCTCTAGATATTTACGGATGAGATGACGTTTACGGACCCTCAACTGGCACGTCGCCAAGAGCAGGAATTTGCAGCATCTTCAGACTACTCAACGAGGCTAGCCCACGAAGCGATTTTAGCGCATTCCACGACACCTCATTGTTGTAATTTGCCGGCCAAGGAACAAGACTGTTTAGAACTACAGCCACAAGCACACCCGATACACGTTCAATTACACACCGACTCCCAGGATAGAAGTTGTGAACGGTACAATATTGGGTATGTGATCAGATCGGTTGAAGACACGATCCTGGGGCTTCCACAGGATGTGACCCAGCTGAAGCAATGATAAGAGGGTCTTCATCCGCACAGACATGCTTGCGCAAGGATGACAATCACTACTTCCAATCTGTCGACAATCGCATATCTACCAATGCAAATTCGTCACCTCAGCGCATTATTGTGCCTCGATCAAATGTTGTGAGTAGAATCGCAACAGAGCGCAGTCATTCAAGCGATCCTTGGGGTACGAAACATCGCAGAGATAGGATGGTGGACATCTGAGTCCATCACGCTACAGTGACCATCATGTCATCAATCCGAGTGCGGATAGTCATATGGAAGACGTAGGAATCGATGTGGAATCACCGCTGCAGGCGCCAAAACAATACCACTGTATACACAGACGGTGCGATAAGAGGTACTACCTGCTAGGCAGGTTACAAATTCATCTGAAGACTTATCACAAGTTACGGGTGACAAGGCAGCATGGCAGCATCGCAGTTAGTTTTTATTTGACAGGTGAAAAGGCGACCAACTACGACTTCAATGTGGACTACGCATTTATGGAGCCGAAGCCATACCCGTGTGTCTACGAGCGCTGCAACAGAGACTTCCACCAGTTGGGGAGGTTTCAAAACCATTTGCACATCTCTCACAACCTGAATACCGACAGAGACGACGATAGAGTTATTATTCATTGGGATTGACTCAACCTGGATATGAACAGTTATGTCTTCAGTGCTAGCTACGTCTCGTTCGAGTTAAAACACATCTGATATACAGACGTGAGCACATCAGGAAAATGGTATGAGTGGTTGCAATGACTTTCACGCACCCCGGGACGAAATATAGTTGGTTAATGTACCTTCACCGAATAAAGTTGACAAACCTGTGTACAATGTGAATTTCGTAGTAGCTTTGATATA